ATTCAGCAAAATATACATTAATGAAAATAAAAGAAAAAACGTTAAACTTCTAAAAGTTATTTGAAAAAGTATACAAACCAAAGAAGACTAAAATCAAGGACAGGTAAAAAATTTTTACAAATCAACAAGAAAAATGGACGCAATAGTACATTCATTGTACATTGGTACAACTTGTTTGTGAACAAATTAGCATTGTCTTGTAAAGTTGAATATGACTACACCATACTCCTAAAATAGCCACTGCCCATAGGCACTAAGAAGTAAGTACAGGCATACCTTGGAGCTATTGTGGGTTTGGTTCCAGCTCACCACAATCAAGTAAATATTGCAATAAAGCAAGTCACATAAGTGTTAATGATCATTGGAGCCCTAAGGGAGTAATAATCTTTTTGCTGGTGGAGAGTCTTGCTTTGCTTTTGATGACTGCTAGCTAATCAGGATGGTGTTTGCTAAAGGCTAGTGTGACTGTGGCAATTTCTTAAAATAAGACAACAATGAGGTTTGCCCCATCCATGGACTTTTCTTTCATGAAAGATTTCTTTGTGGCATATAATGCTGTTTGATAGCATGTTACCCACAGTAGAATTTCTTTCACAGTTGAAGTCAATCCTCTCAAACCCTCCTGCTGCTTTATGAACTATGCTGATGTAATATTCTAAATCTTTTGTTGTCATTTCAACAATGTTCATAGAAGTAGTAGACTCCATCTCAAGAAATCACTTTCTTTGCTTGTCTATAAGAAACAACTCCTTATCCATTTAAGTTTTATCATGACATTGCAGCAATTTTATTATAGCTTCAGGCTTCACTTCTGCATTTCATTCTCTTGCTATTTCCACCATATCTGCAATGACTTCCTCCACTGAAGTCTTGAAGCCCTCAAAGTCATCCAGAAAGTTTGGGATCAACTTTTTCCAAACTCTTGTTAATATGGATATTTTGACTTCCTCCCATGAATCATGAATGTTCTTTTGTTTTTGTTTTTGTTTTTGTTTGAGTTATTGTAGAGACACGGTCTCACCAAGTTGCCTGGGCTGGTCTTGAGTTCCCAGGCTCAGGCAATCCACTCGCCTTGGCCTCCCAAAGTGCTGGGATTACAGGCTGAGCCAGCGAGCCCGGCCTCATGAATGTTCTTAATGGCAACTAGAATAATGACTCTTTTCTGGAAAGTTTTCAACTGACTTTGCACAGATCCATCAGGAAAAAAAAAAAAAATTAAATAGTAATACTTGAAAATTGAAATTACTTCTTGATTCATGGGCTATACAATGGTATTGCATATCTCCATTAGAGCTCTTGGGTGACTAGGTGCACTATCAATGAGCAGTCATATTTTGAAAAGTTTTTTTTTTTTCCTGAAAAGTAGGTCTCAACTGTGCACTTAAATGTTCAGTAAATCATATCGTAAACAAATGTGTTGTCATCCATGCTTTTTTTTGCTCCATTTATAGATTACAGGCAGAGTAGATTTAGTCTAATTCTTAAGGTCCCTGGGATTTGGGGAATGGTCAATGAGTATTGGCTTCAACTTAAAGTCACCAGCTCCATTCGCATCTAATAAGAGAGTCAGCCTGTTCTTTGAAGCTTTGAAGTCAGGTATTGACTTCTTCTCTCTAGGTGGGTATTTTCTTCCAGTAGAAGGCTGTTTTATCTACATGGAAAATCTGTTGTTTAGTGTAGCCACCTTTATCAGTGATCTTAGTTAGATCTTTTGGATAAGTCGCTGCAGCTTCCACATCAGCACATGCTGTTTTACCTTGCACTTTACATTATGGAGATGACTTCTTTCCTTTAACTTCCTGAACCAATCTCTGCTAGCTTCCAACTTCTGCATCTTCCTCCCCTCTTTCAGTCTTCATGGAACTGAAGTTAAGACCTTGTTCTGGATTAGATTTTGGCTTAGGGAAATGCTGTGGCTAGTTTCATCTTCTGTCCAGACCACTCAAACTTTATATCAGCAATAATGCTGTTTCACTTTATCATTTATGTGTTCACTGGAGTAGTAATTTTAATTTCCTTCAAATACTTTATCTTCACATTCGCAATTTGGTTAACTGTGCAGCACAAAAGTACTAGCTTTTGGCTTCTCTTCACGTGCCACATGTCTTCCTCACCAAGGTTCAATCATTTCTAGCTTTTGATTGGAAGTGAGAGATATGTGACTTTTGGACTCTTCTTTTCACTTGAACATTTAGAGACCATGGTCGGGTTAATTAGCCTAATGTTAACATTGCCATTTCTCAGAAAATAGGGAGAACCAAGGAGAGGGAGAGAGAAGTGGGAGCGGCTGGTCAGTAGAGCAGTCAGGACAAATACAGCATTATCAGTTAAGTTCTTTCTCATACATGGGTTTGTGGTGTCTCCACACAAAGATCCATGATTACAGATGACCATAACAGATGTAATAACAATGACAACGTTTGAAATATTGCTAGAATTACCAAAATATGACACAGAGACATGAAGTGAGCACACACTGCTGGTAAAATGACGCCAATAGACTTGCTCAAATCAGGGTTGCCACAAATATTCAATTTATTAAAAATGCTTTATCTTCAAAGCTCAATAAAGTGAAGTGCAATAAAACGAGGTATGCCTGTACAAGAATGCATGTTTTATAAGAACCTAAAACAAGCCAGTTCAAAAGCCCATTGACATGGATTAAAAAGGCATGTTACATAAGAGGTATTAACACAGCAGCATAAATAGAAAGAACTTCAGCTACAGCATGGATGAATCTTAGTAACAATGCTAAGTGGAAAAAGTTGAAAGTCAATGTTGATTATGACCTACACATAATATTCAAAATAGTGCTCACCTTTGTGAATCAGGAAGAACAGTTCTATAGGAAAAGAGTACGGGGTATATGTAATCTATTGGAAATACACTATTTCCCAGAATGGGTAATTGGTACATAAGTGTTTATTACATTATACATAATATAAACAAACCAACTAATAGGAGACTTGAAGAAAATATTTGCAACATCTCCAACGAAGGTGAAATATTCAAATATAATAAATAAGAAAATGCATGCAAGTTTCATGTTCTAAATATCCATGGCTATTATGATTACATGTGGGTTTTAGTAAGTTTTATACATTTTCTATTATATGTTCATACTGTTGGTATTATTTTGAAAACACATTTTTAATGATGCAAATGTAAATGCAAAGTGTCACTTGTAATATGTAAAGAGTTTCGTAAAATAATGTTAAGAGACAATTCAGTTGCAGAGTCTTTGAATATTCTGTTTACAGAAGTAGTCATGTATCTCCAGGAAATGTACAAAATGTACAAAAATATGCTCCACGCACTAAAGAGGAAAGTATGATTTTACAAAAAATAAGATGCTGTTTTTCACTTGTCTCTAAAGAAATATCATAAAGATGTTGCTATGAAGTGTTTTGAGGTTATAAAGAAATGGACACTTACCTATTTTGCAGTGGGAGCCAGTTAGAGGCTTTTGTGCATGACGTACAGTAGAAAATTTTCCTCCAGGGCAGCCTTCAGAAACATATTGACATGCTCACACATATGTTCCTCAAAAATGTTAGCTACAATACCTTTTTTTGTAATAGTGAAACACTAGAGATACTTAAACTTAAAATCCCATGAAAAGATATTGTTTATATAATTTTATAGTACGTGCATTTATTATAGAACATGATAAGCCGGGCTCGGTGGCTCAGCCTGTAATCCTGCGCCTTTGGGAGGCTGAGGTGAGTGGATTGCCTGAGCCCGCGGGTTCAAGACCCGCCTGGGCAGCGAGACCTCATCTCTACAATAAATGAAAAAAAATCAACCGGGCGTGGTAGCGCATGCCTGTAATTCCAGCTACTCGGAAGGCTGAGGTGGAAGGATCGCGGAGCCCAGCAGGCGAGCTGCGGTGACTGGGAGCGGCCACTGCACTCCAGTCTGGGCGACCGAATGAGACTCCAACTCAAAAAAAAAAAAAAAAAAAAGAGAGAACATGATAGAGCACTAAAAAAAAATCATAATCTGTTGGACTGTGACACATAGACATACATTATCTACTGATACAGAAAGATCTCCTAGGCATATTTTTAAATTTAAAGGTCCTCATATGTTAATGGAAAATATATATAGCATAATCCTATTCATGTTTTTATAAAATGTGTGTAACAATAATTTACATGTGAGCATTCATACATTGACAGAAAACGTACTTGGATGATTGCATATTATTACCATTTGTTATCTCTGGGGCAAGGGAGGGAAAGAGACATATTCCAAAGTTTCTGTCCTGTTTCAATTCTTTTATTGCAATAAAATAGGCATGTATGACTGTATAGCTGGCTGCAATACTCGCCTTTGTGACTTTTCCCAAGGTAGGTTGCATTAATAAGCACGCTGCATGCAGTAACAGCAAAAGCAGTGGGTATTTATGACAGCTGACCCAGCAATTAGGCTGGAGTGTTCCTGGGTGGCAAACACTATCAGCCAGGTCAAAAAGCAAGCCGAAGCCGCCTTGTATTTGCAGCTGTTAAATCAAAAGAAAATATGGAAACCGTTGGCTAGAGCCCCATTGCAGCCCAATCGATTTCTCCCAGTTATGGAGAAAGCAGAAAATTGTTTAAGACATATTTCCTGATATTGTATTATTCAAAATATAATTTTTGATTACCAAAATGTATTAAATGAAAAAATGTAGTTTATGTCATTCTGGATTGTGTGAACTGCAGATGACATCTGGGAGAATATCTTAATGAAAATTATTATAACGTATTAACACTTTATTTTTGGGTTTATAAAAAATAGATTTATGATAGAACCTAGAATACATAATCACAGAACATAGAATCTGGAATATATAATTACAAAAATATGTTTAAATTATAAGTAAAATATCGTTAAGATAGCTTATGATTTTCATAAAGTGCAAATATATTTCATTGAGTAAAACGCTAAAGATACTAAACTGAAAATGTCCTCATTTAAAAATATTAATCATGTGCCACAACATGCATATTTTTCAGGTTAAACTTTTTCCGTGATGTTCCTGAATTCAGAGTGTTAGCCTGTGGTGGAGATGGAACTGTGGGCTGGATTTTGGATTGCATAGGTAATGCAGACACATGTTGAATATGACTGAAGTGAGAGATATCTATCTAGTCATTTATCATCTCTATCTCTATCATCTATCTATCCATTATCTATCTATCCATTATCTATCAATCTACCTATCAATCATCTATGTATCATCTATTTATCCATTATTTATCTATCAATATATTTATCACTAGCATTAATATCTTTGGAAGCAGTGATATAATTGGACATCTAGCAGTTTGCACACTATTTACTTTGTTCAATCGATGTCAGCATTTTAATTGATCTATTAATTTATAGATATCTAGAAACCTCTCCTTTCTCATAATATTTACTAAACTTTCAGAATTGTTTTATTTATTTATTCTTTTATCCTTCAGAATTATTTTAAAATCAAGAGCATTGGGGGTTTATTCCCCAAAAGAGGGAGTGAGCAAAAGGGGTCTTGGCATTTGTGATAACATCTATGCCAAACAAACGTGCTTACTTTATTTAAACATGAGCCTCAAAATCTTACCCTCTGTGTACACTCATAACATTATCATCAATCATCATCATCACCATAGCAGCTAATTTTTATTTATCACGTGCTATCTGATAGTCTTGTGCTAATTTTTTCCCCTAAATTATTGTATTTATTCTTTACAACTCTATGACACAGAAAGGCATTACTAATCTTGGTTGGGAGTGGTGGTACATGCCTGTAGTCTGCCTCTCTATCTACATTTAAATAAATTGATTTTTATAAGGAAATAAAACAGATGCATGTTTTAGGATAAAAAATAAGTATGCAGCACGAGAAAAATTTGATAAATTCGGAAAAAAAATTTGTTTATTTTAAGCCTAGTCAGTCAATCCAAAGAGCTGATTACTGGTTAGAAAAACTGGTCATGAATTGGGCTTCATGAGAAGATAAATCCAAAACAAATATTTACTTTTTTAGATCTTATTTTAGTTACTGCATTGACTGAGTCTTTGGTAAAAACAAGCCTTTTCACACACAAAAAAATTGATTCAAAAGAAGTTTTGCTCTCTATATATCTAAATTGAAAAAATCTTCCATTTAGTCAATGCAATGAGAATATTCTACATTGCATACACTAAAAAAATGCAAATTAATTAGATACATGTTGCCAGCAATGCTTTTGATGAGATTTAACAACTTTAATCTACTAATATTTGATTTAAAAATCAGTAGAAATTCTGATCTTGATTTTCCCTGAACGATGTAAACAGTATTTGTATGTTCTATATAAGAAGAAAACCAGAATTCAAGAATTAGAAAAGTTAATGAGTTAGTTGAAAAATGTCTGAAAACTTGCAAGGATGAAAATAGTGGGGATTTTTAGGCTTGTCTTCATTCCCAAAATCAAAATTTTGACTATTTCATTGGGGCATATCACTAAATTATCTTGCCCCTCCATCTTACACACATACACACACTTGACTTTGAGGGGCCAAGGAGGGAGAAAAAAACAAAGATGATGTACATTGGAGATTAATTCAAGGCATATGATGATTCAAAGCAAAGCATATGGAATGTCAGCAGCAGAGATCTTTACTGCTCTGAACCCAAAGCTTTATGTGATGTAAAGATTAATCTCATAGAAAACCTGCTGATCTCGATGTATTCCAGCTGTTAACATTGTGTTCTGTTTGTTCTGACACAAAACAGCACCATGGGTGGGACCAATTCAAGAACATTGTTAGCAATTTACTCACTTTTACAATTCAACTGTTTTCAAATATTTTATTCCTTCAAGTAAAATGTACATAGAGTTGATGTTGCAAAGGGACTTTAGATAAAACCTACCTATCTACCTTGGTCCTGTCTCTTACGTGTATTCCTATGCTGCATATAACTATGGTCCCTGAGGGGATGCAATGGAGGTAAATAAAACACGTCACAATGTCTAGCTGAGTAAAAATATTTTTAAAACTCTCCTTTTGTATGTGTTTCGAAAATCCTTGTACTTTTGTGAATAACAGTGTTTATATTTTATCAATTGCTGCAAATGCATACAAATTATTCATAATTTATAATTGTATATATCTAAGATATACAATTTTGTTTTGTTTGTAATACCTGGTAGAATCCCTCCATATAATGTCAAGCTCTCTTTTGTTATTGTTGTTTTATCTGGGTCCAAAATTTTATGTTATTTTAATTTTTTGATTCTGCAGAAAAGGCCAATGTAGTCAAGCACCCTCCAGTTGCAATTCTGCCTCTTGGGACCGGCAATGATCTCGCAAGATGCCTGCGATGGGGTGGAGGTAAAAACAGCTGCAACATCAAACACAAAAACACAGTACACCACACGTCTTCCCGCTGCAAACAAAAAAAAAAAGAAAAAAAAACCTACAAAACAAAACCTGCATTTTATTTTATTTTTCTATGTGACAATTACCATATGATTTTAACAATTTTTTTGCAAATAAAATTGATGTCATATGAATAATATATGATTTTGGACAATGTCTGTGTTAGAATAACAAATAGTGGACAAAGAGACTTTGGATGTTGGGCTTTACTCTGATACTAATTATAGACATGAACTTGGGGAGGACAAGTTTTCAAATCTCTCTTATTTTTGGTTTTCTTGCTTAGAAAATAAGTTAAACATGGATGATCTCTAAAGTAATGTTTAATTATTTTTTAATTTATGAGTTATGTGTTAAAATCACAAACAAAAGGAAAATGAGAAGCTAATAAACAACTTTTCCAGGCATGAATACTTTAAGTAATACTTAGTTTTTTGAGACCCATTCTATGCTAGCCAGTGTGTTCTGCACTTCGGATACAGAGTTGAGAATAGAAAAACAAAAAGACCCTGAATTCTAGTGACACATAAAACCATATGTGAGTCTTTCTACTAACAAGCAAACAAACAAGTCACCATTATAGATACAGAGCTTACTGAGGAGATGACATAGAAGAGAAATCTAATGGCTGGATGATGACACAACCATATAAAACTGGGTGTGAACTTCGTAGGGAAATGAAACATCAAGTTCGAAAGCCCAGAGGTGGGAAAACACTTGACATATTCAAAGAACTGAAAATGGAATTGTGTGGATGGAGCGGGGTAAGTAAAGAGATAATATTTCAAGATGAAGTCTTAAAATATTTTGAAGAGTCACGAATAAGCTCCATTATCTGAAGATCACTAAACATCAGATTTTGGTAAAGAAGCAGAAATTGAATGCTAAATATTTTTAGCTTCTAAACTGTCTTAGAGAAGTTTGAAAAGTGTCTACAAAGACAGTGTGACTCTGAGCCCCAGGGGAGCTTGTTAAAAATATAGTGGCCTGAACCCACCCCAAAAATGCTGCATGGAAATCCCTGGGGGTGGGACCAGAGCAGATGATTTTCTTTTTAAACAAACTCCCTAAGTAACTCTGACTTACAACAAAGTTAGAGAATTTTTCCATGAATTACTGGCCAACTAGCTCTCAGCTATGTCTGTTAACCAGGCAGACTTGGAGAATGAGTTAAAAACTTAGTATATAATCTGTTTGGGATTTTCAGTAAAAATAGACTTTGATAGGTCAACCCCTTCAGGACCCTACCAACTGTAGGAACTTTTCTGTCCTCTCAATAACTCCTGCTTTCAAAAAAAAAAAAGTATATATATACTTTGATAAAAGAATATTTTCATGAGTTGAGTTAAATTTCATGGAATCTAAATCAGAAAGTAAATATAACTATTGCTTATAAAATATTTATATTTACTAGTGCTCACAGATGTGCACTGAATAAAAAGAAGGAAAGTTTACATATGTGTCTTGTTGCTACATTTTTCTGGAACATATATTTCATATTTGAAAATTAATAGTTTTATTTCTTTTTTCCGAATCAGCAAAGGGCTTAAATCTCTTATTTGATAAAGAAGTCCACTTTTTGGCATACTCTGATGATACTTGTGAAACTGCATAAAGGGACCATCAATGGAAAAAAGCAAGAACTTGTAGCCTATGTCGAATTATCTACTAGTGATGAGTTCTCTGTGAGTTCCTTATATGTGTTGGCACTGTGCTAGGTGCTAAATATAGAGTTAGGAAATAAATAAACGGCTTCCACCCTTTTTGAAATTACATATTTATTGAGTATATAGAAAGTAAGTCATCAATCAATGAAACGTAATTGTAAAATGTGATCAGGGACACAGAAGAATGAAAAATAGAAACTATGAAGTTGGGTGGTCAAGGACATCTCTCTGGGGAGCTAACACTTAAACTGGACCCAAAATATGAGCAGGAGGAGAAATGGTTTCCTGTGTTGCAAAGTCTGAAGGAAAGAAGGCAAGTGGAGTTACGGAAGCCACTGTGGCATGGTGGGCAGTTGGAGGTGGTGAGTACTGTGAATTTGGAAAGGTGCTAGATAATGTAGAGACTTTCTGGCATAGTAAGAAGTTTCTTTGATTGAGTTTGAAGTGCAAAGTGAAATTTTGAAAGATTTCCCAGAAGCAGAATGACACGATTTTTAAAATTTAATTTTATCCATTTAATTTTATTTATTTTTGTAATTTTATCTACTTATTTATTTTTATGTTTAATTTTTTTTTTTTTTTTTTTGAGTTGGAGTCTCACTCTGCTGCCCAGACTGGAGTGTAGTGGCCGCTCCCGGCCACCGCAGCCTCGACCTGCTGGGCTCCGCGATCCTTCCGCCTCAGCCTTCCAAGTAACCGGAATTACAGGCATGCACGACCACGCCCGGCTGATTTTTTGATTTATTGTAGAGGTGAGATCTCGCTGCCCAGGCAGGTCTTGAACCCGCAGGCTCAGACAATCCACTCACCTCAGCCTCCCAAAGGCGCGGAATTACAGGCTGAGCCATCGAGCCCAGCTTAATTTTTTAATTTTAAAGATGTGGGGTACAATTCAGGGTTAGGTACACAAATGTTCGTTACGCAGGTATCCTTGTTGATGAGGTGTGCCCCCCACCCCCAGCAGTTTCCCACTACTGCCAATCCCCCATCCTACTTCCCCACCCCGGGCAGTTTCCCCGCTACTGCCAATCTTTTTCTTATAGTATTACGATAATCGTTCAAGGTCCCTTTATGAGTGAGAGCATGTGATACTTAGTTCTTTGTTTCTGTGATAAATCACTCGTATAATAGACTCTAAGTTCATCCAGATTGCTGTGAAGTTTATGATTTTTGTCCTTCTTTGTGGCTGCATAATATTCCATCGTGTATATGTACCACATTTTTTATCCAGTCCTCTTTCGGTGGTTCCATGTTCTTGCTATTGTGAATAATGCTGTAATAAAAATGTGTTCATGTATCTTTTTCAGAGAGTGATTTGAGATTCTCTGGGTATATTCCCAGTAGGGGGATTGCGGGGTTGTATGGAAGGTTGATTCTTAGATCTTTTAGGAATTACCACACTATTTTCCACAGAGGTTGTACTAATTTATCCTCCCACCAGCAGTGTAGAAGTGTTTCCTTTTCTCCACATCCTCTCCAGTATCTGTTGTTTTTTGAGTTATTGATGATGGCCAATCTGACTGAAGTTAGGTGGTATTTCAGTGTAGTTTTAATTTGCATTTCTATGCTGACTAGTGAGGCTGAGTATTTTTTCATGTATCTATTGGCTGCCTATATGTCTTCTTTTGAGAAGTACCTATACATATCTTTTGCCCACTTTGTAATGGGGCTATTTGTTTTTTTCTTTTTGGTACGTTTGAATTCTTGTAGATCCTAGATGTTAGGACTTTGTCAGACATACATACAGTTGGTAAGTATTTTTTCCCAGTCTGTAGGCTGTCTTCCTGTTCTCTTGATGGTTTCTTTAGCTTTGCAGAAGCTTGCCAGTTTGATGAGGTCCCACTTCTCTATTTTACCTCTTATGGCCTGGGCACTTGGGGTTTTGATCAGGAATGTATTGCCTTTTCCAATTTCCATTAGGTGTCTCCTACATTTTCTAAGTTCTTATAGTTTGAAGTTTTATGTTTAGGTCTTTGATCCATTTAGAGTTAATTTTTGTGTATTGTGATAGGTAGGGGTCTTGTTTTAATCGTCTACATGTGGTCAGCCGGTTTTCCTAGCACCATTTACTGAATTGGTTCTCCTGTCCCCAGTGGTTGATGATGGAGGCTTTGTCGAAGATGAGTTGGTTGAGAAATTGTAGTTTTGCTTCTGGAATCTCTGTCCTATTCCATTGGTCTATATGCCTGTTCTTGTACTAATATCAGACTGTTTTGATTATTGTAGCTTTATAATGAACTTTAAAGTCTGGGAGTGTGATACCTCCTGCTTTGTTTTGCTTTTTGTTTTGGGGTTTGTTTTTGTTTTTGTTTTTGACTGAGAATTGTTTTGGTGATTCATGGTCATTTATGTTTCCATTTGAATTTCTTTATTGTCTTTTCCAGGTCTGAAGAATGCTGCTGGTAATTTAATGGGTATTGTGTTAAATCTGTAGATTGCCTTGGTTGGGATGAGCATTTTAACGTTGATTTTTCCAATCCATGAGCATGGACTATTTTTCCATTTGTTTGTTTCATCTTTGACTTCATTGAGTAGTTTTTATTTTAAAGATGTTGGGTACAATTCAGGAATAGTTAGGTAAATGGTCATCATACAGTAAAGTTTGGGCCTCCCCTTGCTCCCCACTACTCCTAGTTTGAGATCAAGTACCCATATTAATGTTATGTGCTCCCCCCATCATTCCCCTGGCAGTTTCTCTCTGCTGCCAATCCCTTTTTTATAGTATTATGGTAAATGTTCAGGTCTGCTTATGTGTGAGAACATGTGGGACTCAGTTCTTTGTTTCTGTGATAGATCACTGAGTATGATAGACTCTAAATCCATCCAAGTTGCTACAAAGTCCATAATTTTGTCCTTCTTTATAGCTGTGTAATATTCCATGGTGTATATGTACCACATTTTTTAATCCAATCCACTTTCAATGGGCAGCACAGTTGGTTCCATGTTTTTGCTATTGTGAATAATGCTGCAGTAAACATGCATGAGCAGGTATCTTTTTTTATTGAAAGATTTGAGTTTCTCTTGGTATATTCCCAGAAGGGAGACTGTTGGGTCATATAGAAGGTCAACTTTTAGATCTTTTAGGAATTGCCACACTGTTTTCTACATAGGTTGTACTAGTTCACACTCCCATCAACAATGCAGAAGCAGTCCCTCTTCCCTACATCCTTTCCAGCTTCTGTTGTTTTTTGAGTTATTGACGATGGCAATTCTGACTGGAGTTAGGTGGTGTCTCCTTGTGGTTTTAATTTGAATTTCTTTGATGATTAGCGAGGTTGAGCATTT